CCCCCCCCACCACCACCTATACCCAACTCTCCCAAACTCAGAGCTCAGAGCTCCCAGGCAGGGCTGCCATTTCCGACTTCCAGGCCCTTGTACCTGTAGTCCCCTCTGCTCATTGTGCCTTCTCTCTCTCTTCCATCAACTGGGGTAGGATTCGCTGCCTTTAGAAAGATTTGTTCATTCATTCACTTGACAAACACAGAGTGCTCTCAAAGATTGAGCCCTAGCAGCACATGCTCAGGATGTGGGAGCTATTACTCTTATTGTTATTATTTGATCATCATTTTCAGACTGAGCTACTCTGGGGCAGGCGTGTGCCTTGCTCTTATCTGTGGGCCCCTGAGTGTCTGGTACCCAGATGATCAAAAAATCCTTGTTAATTAAAGTGAAAAATCCCCTCTGTACACTCACACACACTCTCAGACACACTTCTTTAACTAGGAAACTTCTATTCATCCTTCGAAACCCAGATTAGATGGCTCCTTTTCCAAGAAGCCTTCCTGAACAGAGCCCTGAACCCCCAGCCCAGTATCAAGACTTCCATGTGGGATAGAGGCTTCTGTGTTTTCTGCCCAAGGCCACAGAGGGAGTGGGATAAAGAGAGAGACTGGGCAGTAGTCAGCACCACTGGGGAGCTTGGGGGCGGGGCAGGCACAGGCCAAGATCCAGAGTTCTCAGCTCCCCTTTGCCCCACCCTGATTCTTTCACTACCCCTTAAGCTATTATTCCTTCTCTTTGTCATGGTTAGAACTCCCTCCACTCAAAAGTATTGGGGCCAAAATGGTAGCAAACAGAACATTCTGGAACCTCTTTCATGCTCTGAGGATATTGGTTTCTTCCCATGTTGGAAAGCCAACGAGGCCATCCCAGACCTTTCCCCAACTCTGTTCTCCACCCGCATCCCCCACCACGTCCTGGCTGTGCAGAGTACAGAGGTAGGTCATGGAATACTGTTCACTGAGTCCCACCATGTGCCGAACACAGTTCTGAGCACTTGACTTGCAGCATCTCACTTCAGCCTCCCTGAACCCTGAGGCAGGGGGCTGTTTTTATTCTCATTTTATAGAGTAGGAAGCTGAGGTCGAGAGTGGCCCACCCAAGGTCGCCCAACTTGTACGTGACAGAGCTGGATTCCTGACCTAGCTGACTCTAGGACAGAGCTGGAGAGAGAGGCCCTAACACCCCTTCCACCTACTCCCTCACTGTCTCAAGCTGAGTCATTAGAGGTCAGCTCCTTCTACCCCTGCTGCCCCTGGGAGACCCTGAGACTGGCCTCACCACAGGTGGGGTGGCTAATTCCAGGTCTGACACCACCAGCTTGAAAAGAGATCTCTCCCCTAGGAGATGTCTGCTTGCTCCATGGCCTTATAGGGCAGACCCTTGTCCCTGTACTGGCCTCTTGCTCAGGTAGCTCCCAGAGGTGGAATCTGATGCCTGGGAGGGGAGAGGGGACCTAGGAATGGCCTTAGAGCCCAGCTGTGCCATCCCCACTCCCTCCCTGCAGTCTTGGGACTGGAGTTATGTCCTCTCCGTGTACCTGCCTCATGGACATCCCGGGACTCCTGGTCAGGCCTGAAGGGTCATCTGGGGTTCCTGGCTCCTGGGGGCCCTGGCCCAGCTGTCCAGGCTGTGTGGCCTGGGACACCAGGCAGGTGGGGGCTGTCATTTATAGATTGGAAGGAGTAAGCTCTCCTCCTGCAGGGTAACTCTCCAACTGGGGGCTTCTGAGGACCCGAGTCAGGGCAGAGTTCCCCGTTACCATCCTGGCCTCCCGAGCTAGGAGACTTGGGGTCATTTATTGAGCATCTACTACATGCCAGACACTGGGTAGGCTTTGAAGACACAAGGGTGGGCATGACTCAGGCCAGTAGGGAGAGACACCCCAAACCTGCAAACAGTTACGAACTTCATTAGGGTAGGGCAAACTGCTCTCTGAGGTTGGGCTCCCCCAGAAGCAGACCCTGAGACAAGAATTCGGAGGCAAGCAATTTATTTGGGAGGTAGCCCAAGGAGACATGGGTAGGGCTGGAAAGGGAGACAGAGAAGGGAAGGCGCAGTGACGGAGGTGGTGAAGCCAGTCGTCACCACTCGGGGCCACGGGGGCGCGGTCCTGCCGCGGTGGTCGGAGCCAGGGGTGTGCGAGCCGGGCTATTTGCCCACCAATCCCCGTCCTCGGTCCTCGAAGGCCGCTCCCCGGTTGGGCGGCCGGGGAGCGGTGGCTGCTGATTCGCCAGCAGTCCTGGCCCCGCCTTCGCATGGGCCCCGCCAGCTTCCGCGGCTGGAGAAAGCCCGCCACCTGAAACGTGCAGTTGCTGGAAGAAGGAATCCCTGGGTAGGGGGCAGTGGGAGAGTGTCGAGTAAAAATGCTACTGGAATATCTAACAGGAGACCTGCTGAGCCTTGAGGGGAAGTCAGGGAAGTCTGAGGAGGCTGCAATTGAGGTGAGATCTGGAGGCGGGCT